CAGGGAAAAAAGAATGGTTAACAGATGGCATAGCTTCTGGATGATGGGTGCAGGCAGACATTTTTAAAAATTAATTACTGACTACACATACAGTCAAAAATATTGGAGTCGAGTCAGGTGGGTATAGACTTACCAGGTGATCACTTTGTAAATTATATAAATGTCTACTCGCTATGTTGTATACCTGTAACTAATACAATATTGTTTGCCAACTAATTAAAAAGTAAATTTTTAAAAATAATAAAGATTATACAACAAAGGAAATATAATAATGTTAAGGAAAAGATACAAAATTATATATACACTCCAACTGCAGTGATATAAAAACTACACATGGAAAAAAGAATGGAAGATCATATATATAACCTGTCCCCACCACGCAAAACAACTGATTCCTTTGGCTGCAATGATCATATAATATTCTTCTGTAACACAGCCATAGATCTAGACTAAATACCAGGCATACAACAGTAGTTTAATATTTTAACTGTATTAAAATGTCTGTATCTACTTGCTTCATTTAAGGTATTGGGTTTACAAGAGAGAAATACTCAATATACAACAGCACTAATGAATAACAAGTATTTTCTGATGAACCCATTACTGCCGCACTATGAATGAATGGCAAGGCTGGTTAACTGTAGATGCTTAAACAGCTGAAAAGCACCAAAAGGTCTTTCTCAATCCACTACTTCCTTATTCCACACCACATATACTTCAGATTCTTTCTCAAGGCTCACAAGATGTCAACTACCAAGAAGTATTGTTACTCGCAAATAATAATACACAACATTTTTGAGAAAACCAAAAATATTTCTTATGTAGTTCAAATTTTGAAAAAAGAGCAACCAGAAATCTCCAAAATCAAACATAACCACAAAACGTTACGGACTCAACTTCTCGACACTGTGAAGTCACATGACGACCTGGTAGATTCTACACTACCACAGGCTGGAAACTATGTCCTTTAATTCAGTTCCCATTTCTTGATATTTTCTTGCTTCTCAAAGCAAGTAACTACAACCCAAATTTCCCCTTTTAACATAGGAAGCAGTCTTCAAAGAAGAACTTGGACTTTTACTGTGGCTATTTTTAAAAGGGATATGTGCCCTAAAACATTTATAAGTCAGAACTGACAGTGTTTTAAAATTAAAGACTGTTATACTGCTAGAACATATATAAAGACGGAAGTTAGACAAGATACTATTATCATATGGTACTCAAAAAATGGCACTAACCAGAGAATCCATCCCTCCTCTACTAAGGTGACCTCATCAGTAATTTCTGGGGCCTTCTTATTTAAAACCACATGTTAGGAACACTTAAAGTATTTTAAAATTTTAAAAATAGGTTGGGTTACAATTATTTTAACAAAAAGCACTAGATATACTTCCAAAAACAAAAAAGAATCTTAAACAGTCCTGACATTGTTTCCTATTATACAAAAAAGAATCAACATATTATGACATACACCCATTTAAATGTTTTCATCCTTTAAAAAAAGGATGTCCTGGTTTTCCTATGGGAGAGGGGACTGATGATACTTAAAGATTACCTCCAACCACCAACTTTTTGAAAAATAAGGGGCTTTGATACATAATTGGAGATTTGGGGGGAGAAAGCTAAAAAAGTATAATGAAAAAATATGCAGACTATTTTCCCTCTAAAATATTTCTCAGATGTTTAAACGTGGTAAAGACCAGCGAGAAAAAATTAAGACATAATAAAATTTCACATCATATCCAGTGAAGGCAGAGAGAAAAATAGAAGAGGAAAATAATCAGATGGAAAAGAAAGTATAACTCCAAGGTATCATAGGAAAAGGGAGTAAGTCCCAACGCATTCATAAAAGAAGGCTCCTTATAGCTTCAGCTCATGGACCAAGAGATTTAGTGTTAATCAGTTTGGGGCCTCTGAATGGTCTTCGGAGAGGGTGGTTTGTTTCCCCCCCCCCCAGTAAGATTTTATTTATTTATTTAAACGATTTTATTTATTTTTAGAGAAAGGGGAAGGGAGGGAGACAGGGAGAGAAACATTAGTTGCCTCTCCTATGGTCCCATCCAGGGACCTGACCTGCAACCCAGGCATGTGCCCTCACTGGGAATCAAATGGGGACACTGTTGGTTTGCTGGACGATGCCCGACCCACTGAGCCACACCAGTCAGGGCTGGCTATTTATTTATTTATTTATTTATTCATTCATTCATTCATTTAGAGGGAAGGGAAGACAGGGGGAAAGAGAGGGAAAGAAACACTGATGCGAGAGAGAAACATTGGTTGGTTGGCCCCTCGTACACACCCCACAACCAGGGACCAAAAGAAAAACCCAGGTATGTGCCCAGACTGGGAATCAAACCAGCGACCTTTCACTTTGCAGCAAGATGTCCAACCAACTGCGCCACCACAGTCAGGGCTAAATGGTCCATTATGATTAACCACAGCTGTAACTTCTTTTATCATAATTCAGAAAGCAAAGTTTATCTCAAAATGAGATATGAGACTCCCAGAGGGAGATATTAATAACAAAAATAATGTTTTCAGAACAAATGTAGTTCAAGATCATATCTAATACTTGGTTACTTGGTGAAGAATTTCCTCATCACTTCCCTGAAAAATTATCAGTATCAATTCTTTTTAAAAGGTACCTTAAAATGAAAAGATACCTTATTTTTAAAACTTACTTTGAATTAAAATAGAAAACAGTAATCAGTACTTTTGAGAGAGACTGGATAATACCACAGAACAAAACAATTCCAAAATAGGTAGATATGATTCACTGGCCTGGATAACACATCTCAAAGAACAGACAACTACATTGTATTTACATTAACTAGAAAGAAATAGGAAGTAGGTTTAAAAATTTTTAGTAATAAAAAAGATACAGTGCATGCAAAAAAATTAGTAATTCATTCCGTTTGGTTAGCTTTGTGATAAAAGCAGCAGTATCTCCTTTGAATTTAAAAGAGATGTTTTAACAGACTTTAATATCAATAATGCAATTTAAACTACAAGGTAATTCTTCCTTTACTAAATCCCTTATCATAGAATCAGATTAATTAATTCATAAAAGAATTCTAGACAAGGAGTACCTTTATACTGGGTAATTTTAAAAAGTTCTTTACCTCAAACTTGGTACTCTTTTCAGCAATCAAGAGGAAAATTTAGAAAGTAAAATAAGGAGAGGCTGGTTCTGTTAACTCTGCCATTAGTGTTTGGTTCTAAAATACTAAATAATACCTGCTATGAAAACACAATCAAGTTGGGATTAAAATATCTCCAGTAGCTCATTTTTCTTCTTGAACTAGAAAATACTCAAGTCTAAAACACACCAAAAGCTTAAGTGCCATTAGAGTGGCACTGTTACTGCGTGGCACCCACAGTAACGTGGCTCCAGGAATGCACTTGTCAGTGTACGCAGCTCTCTAGTAAAATGACAGCAGTCCTCTGGTGTGTTCTGTGTTAACAAAGAAAGGGTACAGCAGTCCAGGCATCTACGAACTTAAGAACACAAGGACATGACACGTGGCTTATTCAGCATCGCTCCAGCTGGCTCCTGTTACCGAACAGCCCCTACCTCCCTTCTCCAACACCTGCTTAACAACCAGCAGCCTGAGTGCTCTGAATCCTGGAAGGCCTGAACTCCAGATTCACTGCGGTCTAGGCTCCTCCATCGTCCTAGAGGGAGCAGTCAGTTACCGCACACACTGCAAGCCTGCTAGTGAAGGTTATCCACCCTGCACGCCAGTCCCTCAACAGCAGGCCCATATGTGCCCTTGATGGGTGAGGTGGGGAAGGGTCACTGCTGGCGATCTGTGGCTCCCGAAGACTCTGAAAGCTTACAGTTCTGAGATGAAAACTGGAGAGCACTCTGCCTGCCTGCATGAAACCTGGAACAAAGTTTCCCCCCTAAGGTGTGGGTTGGGGGGAGGGAGATATGGGGAACATCTGTAATTGGGTCAACAATAAAAAAAAACTCTCCCCAATTTCTTTTTTCTAATTTTGACTTAATTAGGACCATTTTCATTAGTCCAAAAGGGGACACCATTCTTGGGGTTTGAAATAGTCATTGTTTATTTTTAATTTTTTAAAGATTTTATTTCTTCTTTGGAAAGAGGAGGGAGAAAGAGAGTAATCAGTGTGTGAGAGAAACAGTGATAAATTGCCTTTCCCGGCCTGCAACCCAGGCATGTGCCCTGGCCAGGAAGCAAACCAAGAACCTCTCGGTTCAGAGACTGGCACCCAATCCACTGAGCCACATAGGCCAGGGCCAGTAATTTATTTTAAACCAAGAAAAATATATAAAATTATACTAAAATAAAACGATGCTGAAAAATGATCATCTAAATGCCCTCAGTTTTCCACTACAAAGAAACAAAAAAAAGAATTGTCATTTTTATATATACTTCAAAGCCAGAGTTTCTCTTACATTTGTAAACCCCCAAACAATACAGAAACCCATGAAACTTTGTGTTGTTGAACAGAATGAGAAGAAATGGGCCTGGCCGTGCAGCTCAGTTGGTTAGTGTCGTCCCAACGCACAGGGCTGTGGGTCTGATTCCCAGTCAGGGCACATACAAGATGCCACCCATAAATGCATCAGGAAATGGGACGACAAATGTTTCTCATTCTCTCTCAAAATTAGTCAATTAAAAAAAAAAACTTACAAAAAAACAAAAAACCTTACATGCGCACACCCCAGAATCCTGCATAGTGGATACAGCCTAATGTTAACTACAAACAAAGGCTGGGAGTGAAACCGAAGAGTCTTAGAGGCGTTTTTGATTTAGTCATTTCTGCAGAGCAGGGCATTTCACGTGCATTTCTGCATGTGAAACCGGGAACGAAGAAGAACAGAACCTAGCTCCCAGGTCTCACTCTTGAGTCTGGGATGACAATTCCGAGCATATATCTGGAGCCCTAGTCAAATGTCAGGCTGAGTCACTGCACTATTACAGCCCACTCTTTAATGGGTACTTATGAAGAGAGGTATTTTTACTTACTCTGGTCAGCATAGTTTTTTGCTTTCAGTTCAAGTTGTCTTGTTTGAGATTCTAAAGATTCTACTCGGGTCTGTAAATCCTTTTTCTCCTGTTCTTGAGAGTCTTCAAATTCAATGAATTTCTAATAAAAGAAATATTTATTATTTTCATTAGCAAAATGAAAAATTTTAACATTATCAAATCCTGTGTTTCTTGGTATCACATTCAACTTTAACTACTCAAAAAGATCTCAAAATCATAAATTTAGGTTGATTTTTTGTTTCTCTATAAAAATTAAGTTTTAAACCCTCCAAATATAGAAGGAAAAGGTGACAAAATAATGTTTCTGAAAGTGTCTTTACTTCATATAATAGGCATTCAAAAGGAAACGCGTATTTGTATATCCTACCCTCAAAATATAAATCCTTTTATTAGTACACTTGCATATCCATCCAAATTCAAGTCACAAATTTTTACATATTTTATACTTAACACGTACAACAAATAGAGAACCAAAGGATGATGAAATAGCAATAAACACTTGTTAAATGATTATTTGATTAATGGACAGTCTTCTAGAGTACCTGAACCATGGAATTTAAATTCCTAAGAAAAAGCCCTGGCTGGTGTGGCTCAGTGGACTGAGTGCCAGCCTGCAAACCAAAGGGTCACTGGTTCAATTCCCAGTCAGGGCACATGCCTGTGCTTCAGGCCAGGTCCCCAGCATGGGATGTGCAAGAGGCGACCACACACATGTTTCTCTCCCTCTCTTTCTCCCTCCCTTCTCCCCTGTCTAAAAGTAAATAAAATCTTAAAAACAAATAAACACCTTTCTCTTAAATTTTTTTCTTTAAATTTGGTTTCCAGAACTTTTCCTCTATTTTAACACTGTTCATTCTTGGTTTTCTTCATTGGTTCTTCCTCTTCTCCCCAAACTTCTTAACACTGGCAAGCTCAGTTCTTGGACAACTTTTCCTCTTCATTGTTTACTCTTATTTCCTTGTGACCTCATCTAGGTTCATGGCTTTAAATACTAACTACATGCGGACAACCTCAAAATTTCTAGGCCAATCTCTGGCCCAGTAATGAATTCCAGATTAGTGTGTCCAACTGCCTACTGAACAACTGCATTTGAGTATCTAAAAAGCATCTTAAACATGACATGTCAACGCTTGTTTCTCCTGGTCTTACCTAGTTCATTAAATTACTGTGGTCAGTTGCTCAGGCCCAAAACTTTAGAGTCAGCTTTTTTATTTTTATTTTTATTGCTGTTCAAGTACAGTTTTCTGCCTTTTACTCCCATCCTAGCCCACCCCCCCTCCACTTCCCTCCCATTTCCACTCCCTTAGTTTGTCCATGTGTCCTTTATACTAGTTCCTGTATGAAGTCAGCTTTGATTTTTCTCTTTATCTAACATCTCATGTACAGTCCATCAGCAAGTCTACCTTCGGATCCAACCCCTTTTCCTCACCTCCACCCCTAGCCTGGTCTGTGCCCACTCATTATTTACTTCCTGGATTAATTCAATAGCAATAGCCTCCTAACTGGTTTCCTTCCACCCTTGCCCCCTCTACAACGCATTCTCAATACAACATTGCCTTACCTCTAAGAAGTAACACAGAGCAAATGAACAACAACAAAAAATATGGCAGCTCAGTTTACGCCTCTGCTCAAAATTGGATGGTGGCTGACTGTTCTCCCAAAGTCCTAATCACGGCCTTCAAGGAAGGACCAATACAACCTACCATCCCTCACCTCTCTGAGGTCATCCTTGAGTACTCTTTCTCCTGCTCCCCCCCCCCCGCCCCCCACATAGTGATACAACCCTGCCTGCAGTTCCTCAGACACTCCAAGCCTTTGCGCTGGCTTCCTACTGCCTGCAATTCTCTTCCTCCAAATATCTAAATGGCTCACTCCCGTCTCACCTCAACGTCTTTGTTCAAATCCCGCCCTTTCACAAAGACTTTCCTCGCTCATTGTATTTTAAACTGCACAACCACTCCCCACCTCCCTCCCTGTTTTTTTCCCATCTATAGCACTTATCCTTATCTGAAACACTGTATATTTTAGTAAGTATATTTTAGTAATTTATCGTGTTTATTATCGAACTTGTCTCACTAAAATGTAGGCTCCATAAGGGCAAGAATTTTTGTTTTTGTTTGCTGTTGCAGAACCAGCAGAAAGAACGATGGTGGCACATAGCAGGTGCTCAAATATTTGTTAAACAACAACAAAAAACTCAGAGTAAAACACTGAAACCCACATAGGAAAATGTAGAGTTCACGAAAAACCTTACCCATCACTAACTATACCTTAGTTTTAATATGGAAAAATTTTGCCCCTCTGTCCTAAAACTTTTCAATCACTGTAGCAGAGGTTGGTTTTTGTCTATACACTATGTCTCCTTAGAGGAACTTCTCCTGTTTCACCCTCATTCCGTTCAGTTAATGCAACGGGGGTGGTGAGGCTGCATCTCCCTGTGGGTGGGCACAGGGCTTGAACACGCTGGTCAGAGTCCTCCCTGGGACATCTGTCTGCTATTTAGGAAAATACCACATCCCCCTCTTCCTCTGGAATCCCGAACTCAGAACCTAGCAGGCTTAAGCTGTAGACAGCCATCTTTTCTAACATATGGAAAGATGTTATTCTAACATCTGAGAATAAACCCAATATAAAGGAAAACAAAGAGCAAAGGGGAATAAAACCTTGTATAAAGATACCATTTGCTGGAGGATTAGCAACAAGGGAGTGGGAGGAGGAGGGGGAAGGTACAGAGAATAAGTAGCATAGATGGTAGGTAGAAAATAGGGGGAGGGCAAGAATAGTATGGGAAATGTAGAAGCTAAAGAACTTATGACACATGGACATGGACTAAAGGGGGGATGTGGGTGGGGCAGGGGTGTGCAGGGTGGGGGGAATGAAGGGGGGAAATGGGACAACTCTAATAGCATAATCAATAAAAAATATTTTTTAAAAAGATGCTATCTGAGTCTTAGATTCAGCAGTTCCTGGACTCAGCATTTCAAGTCCTTTTTGTTTTTTGAGTTCTTCCCCCCTAGCTACATAAACCAATAAATTCCTATTTTATTTAAGCTTGTTTGAATAGGTTTCGAGAAACCAAAAGCATTCTAATATAGTTATTTACTTTTTCTCAAGAGACATTTGACTTCCACATACCACTAAACAATGTTTTTTCTTATCTTTGAAACTTAAACCTACCACCTCTGGAACATTGGTTCTTTTTTTAAATTTAAATTTGGTGTGGTAACACTGGTTAATAACATCATACAGATTTCAGATATACAACTTTATAGTATGTCTGTTTATTCTATTGTGTACTCACCACCCAAAGTCTAGTCTCCTCCTGCCACCACATATTTGACCTTTACCCTCTCCATCTTCCCCTCGTCCCTCCTCCCTATGGTAACCACCATGCTACTGTCTGTATTACGAGTCTGGGGGGGAGGGAGTTTGTGTTGTTTGTTCATGTGCTGCTTCTGTTTTATATCCCACACATGAATGAAATCATATAATTCTTTTCCATATGACTTATTTCATGTGGAACAATGCTGTCAAGACCCATCCAAGTTGCAAATGGCAGTATTTCATCTTTTTGTGGCTCAGCAGTATTCCACTGTGAGTGTGTATGTGCACATACCACACCTTCTTTATCTGACTATCCACCGAATGACATCTGAGTTGAAACACTGGTTCTCAGTCCTTTGGGGTCCACAGGTCCATTTGGGAATCTGATACATCCATGAACCATGTTTCTCCCTGGGAAAAAATGCCCACCCCAAATTATGCCTGTTTGTCTTGGGGAATCAGAGACCGCACAAGTCCTTCCACAAACACCTGATTTAGTAGCCCTGCCCTACACTTTACTATTAAAATATTCCGTATTTGTGAGGCTTCTTCTTAGAAGCCTCACACCACCATTGTTTATTTCTCCAGAATATGGATCTAAAGATGACTATACATAGAAGCAGCAGTGGTTATAGTGAATAAAAGGAAAGTGACAAACTTGACAAAGCTTTCAAACAAGTCATTCATTCATTCATTCATTCACAGGCCAGGTGAGTGGAACATGACTGAGTACCACACCATCCCTGCCTTCCAAGGGTGTTGTTCGCTGGCTACAAACTGAATGCAGGCAGGTAATATACAGGTTACAATGAACAGAAAAGTAGCAATTACATGTTGCTAATGAAGTTTGAGTTATTTCAACATTTTTAGGTGGGGATATAAGCAAAGACCTAGTATTAATAAGAAAATGCAATTATTTTTTGACCTGCTTTGAAAATGATGCTCCCTTGGCTAACTGATCTGTTTATCTGGGTAAGTAACTAGAAATTCTTATTTTAGCTTTTCGTGCTATGAATAAAATGTATTAAAAAATACAGAGCAGATGTTTGCAAGTAACACTTAAAATGCTGTGCTACTAAACTCCTAACAAAAACTTTACCACTAAAGGGGGGGGGAATGGGCGAATGTCAAAGGGCACCAATTTCCAGCTAGAAGATGAGTAATTCCAGCGATGAAATGTACAGCAGCACAAAGACTACAGTTAGCAATACTATTCTACTGCGTATGTGAAAGTTGCTAAGAAAATACACATAAAAGTTCTCACCACAAAAAATATATTTGTAACTATAGGAAGTGATTAATGTGTTAACCAACCTTGTTGTGGTAATCATTTACATATATGTGTACATATGTGTGTGTATTGTTACATTGTATACCTTAAATTCACACAATGCTCTATATGTCAATTATTTCTCAATAGAGCTGGGGGTAAAAAAACAATTGTACCACTATTCTGCCTATTCAGAACACTTTCGTGATGGAGAGAAGAAACATCACATGGACACACCAGGCTTTGTGTCTCATCTGTTTCTTGGCGACCCAGTTTGGCCACAGAAGGGCATAAATAATCCATAACTGTTCAGCAGTCACTATTATATGCTTACTCTACAAGCATTTCTTCGACCTGCGTAGATGATTCAGTCTTCAAAATGCTTCACATTTTTTGACAACTACTAAGACTTTGTATCTGTATCAATAATCTTAAGTAAATATGAAAAAGGGAAGAGATCTCCTCCCCCCCAAAGTTGTGTGACAGTTCTTGGATGGTCCAAGCCA